CACCAGGAGAACTGGTCTTGAGTCAACGCTGCACAGATAGCTGCAGCGCCCTACAGAACCTCCAAACAAGCTCCTAAGGCTGACAGTACCTTTTTGTAAAGGAGAACCCCATTGACGGTGAACTTGGAGACTGAGAAAGACTGCAGGAAAGTAGAAACAGAGAAGGAGCTCGTGCCAGGCACCCCGGGAGGAGAGGACCTAGCCCAAGGCATGCTGGTGTGGAAGGAAGAAGCATGTGATGATGTGAGGATGGGACTATAAGGTCAACCACGTTTGTAAAGAGGTCAGAAACCGCATGATTTAGAGCTAGGGCTCTTGTGGTGTAAGGGTAAAAGCAAATGCTATTTTAATAGGGAAGTAATATATTTTAACACATTTTAGAAAATAAGTCTAGTATTAGAACTGACAATAAATTCGGGAATTTTAAAATCTTATGGTGAGTGTTTATATATAGGTATATTCTTTTGTCTTTTGAAGTTATCAGTTTTAAGAACAAATATTGATGCTGCTGTTGGCTTTATACACCACACTGACTCATCCTGAGGAGACAGATAAAACTGAAACAGCACAAGATCATACTTTAACCTGTGAAAGATGTGGCGCACAACTTCAGCTTCTGTCAATGGCAGAGTTGCTTGTATCAGAATAAACTTTGTCCCAGTAGCGATGGTGAATTCCTGAAGACACATAAAAAGTGCAGAAACATTTATAGGCATTAGGAAGCAGAATGAAACTGAAGCAGGCTCAGTCACTGAAAGAAACCTTCACTGGGTAAGACCCACCTCTGAGCGACAGCATAGCTTAGCCCGCCAGGGTCCTCTCCACTTTGTTTGGAAGTGGCTAAAGGACACAGCAGAACATAAGAGTTTTGTTGGCTTAAGAACTGAAGAGAGGTTCCCAGGAAGAACAGAGTAACAGAGGGGATCCCCTCCCAAACTACCCAGAGTGCCTTTTAAATCCTTAGCTGAGTATTGAATTATGCATCATGGGGAAAGTCTTCAATGAGCCCCAGATAAAAATGTGAGCTCTAAAACAGGGCGGACTGAGCAGGAATTCAGCAGCTTCAGCAGGTATACAGTGTCTGGAACTACATTCCAGCGCCCACCTGCCTCAAGTTGGAGGAGCCTCCTTATTAATGAGGGCAGAAACTCCAGCAGACCCGTGCTAGCACTGTAAGGTAGCTCACTGGTCCTCAATAAGGTATGAATTGAGCAATGATTACAGACATTCGAATGCTAAGTTTAAGAAGTTGGACATCACTGAAAGTATGCATAACTGCAGCTCCCATAAACTGTTGGGGGCAGAAAATGACATACTTGATTGCAGAAAGCATATTTTCTTTACAAAGTATGCTTAACCTATCCAAAAACATTATTCATAGGATATTTTCCAAGGAAATGAAATTTCCTTCCCTTCCTTCCTTCCTTCCTTCTTTCCTTCCTTCCTTCCTTCCTTCCTTCCTTCCTTCCTTCCTTCCTTCCTTCCTTCCTT